TTTCATTGCTTGTTTGAACTCTGGGGAATCTATTTGAAGCAATTTCCCACTTTTTTCAACATTTTTTCCTTCTTTTTTTAATAAAGTGAATTTGTGGCAAAGATAGCTTGTTTTTGTCCGCCAAAAATTTCTTTTGGTTCCCAAATATTCCCAAGTCCATTGGTTGACATAAATGGGAACTGTGAGGGACCTCCTTAATCATTTCTACATGATTTTCCAAAAATAAATTTTGAATTTCTCCAGAAAAATGGCCTGAAAACCCATCAAGTATCAGGAAAGCTTTCATATCGGCACGCACACCCATTTGTTTTCTTTTTGCCTTAATTGTCAGGAAGAACACTTTTTTTAACCAGAGGGTGTATAATTCAGTATTCAAAACACCTGATTTTTGTGTCCTTATTAAAGCCCGACTTTTAAGGGATATAATAGCAACATCTTCCAGAGAAAGTCTTTTTGTTACCACAAGTGAAATCATTTTGGTTCCATCGAGGCATCCACAACACAAAAGACTTGTTCTGGAACTTTCTCTTTCAACTTCATTAAACACATCTTGTCCTTTAGAAACTTCTGCATAGACAATTTTTGAATGAGAATCGACCCATTTGTCGAATCCAACTTCATCGAGGTTAAAAATAAGCTCAAAACGGCACCCATCAATTTTCTTTTTCAATTCGGTGTAATATTGCAAAATTGACTCGGGTGTAACTTCTGCCCGTTTTGCTTCCATAACTGGTGCAACATCTGGAATATGGGTCATAATTTTGTGCAATTGCTTGGACCCAATATTTTTGTCGAAATTTTCGTGAATAAAAAAACTTGCTTCTTCACGTGTTGCTTTTTTAGTCTTACTATCTTTTATTGCGTTTTGTATCGCAATAATTTCTTCATCATTTAGTAGTTTTTTTCGTCCTTTTTTGGGTTTTTTACCAGTTTTATTTTCGTTATTTATTTTGTCAATTTGACAACGAACACTTTTTCTTTCGAAAGTCCCGAAAAAATAGTCAAGTGCAATGGGAAAAGACAATTTTTTTTCTTTTAATATTTTTGAAACATTTTTTGGCAATTCCTTTAAACAATAACGTACTTGTTGACGGAAAGAATCAAATGCCATGGATTTAACTTTGATCTCAAGATCTTTAAAAAAATAATCATATCTGGGATTTCTTTTAAATAATCAATCACATTAATATACTGTGGTATTAAAGGTTTTTTCATTGTGTTCACTAAACTTTGCAATTTTTCATCTTGTGTTTTATACACATGTTTAACTTTCGGAGGTTTTGATATCATTGGGCTATGAGACATTGATGAAAAATAAAGATTGTTATAAACACTCAATTATTAAACGTGTATTTTTGATTTTATTTGAAACTTTAGAATATATTTCAACAAAAATAGTTGTGTTAATTATTGATTGTTGTTTTTAACAATTAAATTGATTTTGTTAATTATTATGTGATTGTTTAAATAATTTTGGTGTTATTCTGATTATTTTGCTTCGATGAATTTGTTTTTTTTTTATTTTGCGATGAAATTTTATCGCATTATTGTTTAGTTTTTTTTACAAAGTTTATGTTTTTTTATAAAAATAAAATATTAAAAATTATAATAATAAATAACTTTATTTTTAAACATTATTTTTGAATGATTTATTTTAATATTTAAATAACTAATTATTTCTTTAAATAATTTTGCCCAAAATGGTCAAAAACAGTTATTTGGAATAATTTAATAATATTTTTATTATAAATTATTAAATATTTATTCTATATAGTATTATGAATAGTTTTTGAAATGAATTATTATTATATCATAATAGAATCACATTAATATATTTTTGTTTGTTTTTATAAACCATGTTATATTATTAATAGCTATTGTTTAAATTATACAAACTAAATTATTAAAATAATAAATCATGATAGTTTAACAAAGATTTAATTTATATAACACATAACGAACACTTCATTTTGTATTCTTTGGCTTCGTGTTAAGTTAGTGCCTTAGCGACTGCAAGGTTTACTGATAAGAGTTTGCACATATTAAGTTATCAAATTGTTATTTTTTTTTCGAGAC